TTGCTTTATAACTATGTGAAAATGTCTTCAAAAATACATGAATCAATGGTTCTAATTGCCAATTATACAGCTGATACTGTGTAATTTGACCAGATGTTAAAGCATGAGTAAAACAGAGAATAAAACTATGCTTTTCTGATGTTGGAGTTTTACCCAAGCTAACACAATACCCATTTAGCACAGAGTTATTATAGTTTTGCATTTTCTATTTTTTTTTTTATATATAGCATTTTATTTGGTTTTTAGAATGGGTTTGATGATTTCAGTTTAGTCTCTATTGTTTGAAAATGTTGAAAATGTTCTGTTTGTTTCAGTTTATTTGTATTTGTTTGGTGTTAGTTTTAGTCTTTTTAAGATTATATAGAAAGCATAGGTCACAAGCAAGATTTCAGAAAGTCAGTCTTAGAAATCCAAAGTCTCAATAAACACGCACATCAAATCCTTATTATGCTAGTTTGAAATTTTAAAATGAACAAATACTAAAAGTGAGTCCCTGAATATTTTATTATATTTTTATTTCCAATTTCACAAAGCATTTTACTTTTTCTTTTTTTTCAAAAGCCTAGTTTTTATTTTTATTTTAGTTAACTAAGCTGCCTCATGTTAGTTTTTAGTTTAGTTTTAGTTAGCTCTAATAACCTTGGTTTAGCCTTCAAATATAAAACAACCCAATGATGTATACAAATTTTATGTGGAAATACATACATTCTGCAACCCTCTAATAAAAATTGATTAGATTTTTAATAAAGGCTCTTTTATTGCTAATTCAGACATCTTGGCTTTTTGTACTGAGTCACTGTTTTTTGTTGTTTGTTTGCTGTCAACAAGCACGGTGTTCCACAAGGCTCTAGGTTAAATCCTCTGTTATTTTTTTAATGTACATTCTTTCACAAGGCCACATTATCAGGACTTTTAAAATCTTTTTAGAATGATTTTATGATATACTATTACGACTTTTCTTGTTTGTTTTTTTAAAGGAAAATTTTTAAAAAAATAAGATGTTCAGTTTTTAAATTACTAACCTTTCCTGTCGACTTGATACCCTTCCAAACACAAAAGTAGCAGATAATCCAGCTGAGGATGAGACAAAGGACCAGTTCCCATCGCAAGCCCCCAACTTCCTCAATACCACCAGAGACCTTTAAAACCCGACGCCTGGTCAAATGAAGGGAGCAGTGATGTGGGTGAGAGGGAGACCGGGAGACCACAAATGAATGGCAGGTGAAAGGGAAGGACATGTGGAAATTGGGAGGGAGGAAAACTGAGTGCTAGATTGGATGACTGACGGATGGCAAAAAAAAGTGTGGGAGGAAGTGGAGAGTTAAAAGAAAACATCTGAAAATTATCATAAAGAAAGGAGGAGAGAGGGAACGAGACAAGTAAGGGAGGGGAGTGAAAGGGGGGGGGGAGCATTCTGTTTATCTTGTGTGAGTTGACTATATGCTTACTGCCAAAACTCCACAACAGGAAGAGTAGTGTTCAGTCTGGACGTCATACTCAGATTCAGATGGCTTAAGTCCAAGCATGAGTCTGGTATAGGGAAATAAAACATCAGCAAAGTAAAAATGCCCATTTACAGTGTCAAAGGTGTTGCCTTCAAATTATATTTCATATATTCTATATTCAAAACTATTACAGCACACAACAAGCAATGCATAGAATAGTCACTGCTTTTTAGAATATACCAGTACTGTAGTACCTGTGTTCCAGTAGTGTCCACATGTGGCCCAAGGTAAATCCCCACTGAAAGACTGGAACAGGTAAAAGAACGCCCATGCCAGGATTATAATATAAGATGTTGCACTGAATGCGATGATTAAGTGACTGGCATAGCCCATGCCTAAAATGAACAAACAAATAAATAAAATTGGTAATGGCCAATTATTGAAACTGTTCTGTTCTTGCACAGCACCTAAAGCCTGAGAGCTAAAAGGTGCGCAAAGGAAACACCGCAGACGTAAGCTATATACAAGTGCAATGTCAGTCGAAACACTGTGTAAACACTTTCTCTTTGCAGAGGTCTAATTATATAAATAAGGTCGTTGTGCGATGAAGCAGGAATATAAATGGAATGTAACCAACATATTTATGAAATGCATTCATGTGGTTCTTACACTTAACAATCATGCGTGTAGTAATATTTTACATGAGCATAAATAATTTATCATTCTTCCTCTACCAGTAGCAGTGATTACTTTCCTACTGGAAGTGTAAACAACTTCCCCTCTGGCACCTTGCCTCAACACTGTTTGTTGTTGGACCGAGACCATTTTTGGACACGGAGGCGGTCTCAGCGGTGTTTCTAGGGGAATAATCGAACACGCATAAAAAATAGACTAGAATACAAGCCCGTTGACAAATATAAGGACTCACTGAATATATATAAATTATGACTGACATTTCGGAGAAAAAATTGGGGGAGTTTATTTTAATTACCTTGAAAGAGCGGACAAATCCTTCTCCAGCAAGTAATTCCCCCCTGGCTAGTGTACTGTCCCAAGGCAGTTTCAAGGAAAAAGAGGGGGATCCCGCACGTGAATATGAACAAGATATATGGGATGAAAAACACACCTGTAAGAAAGGCGGGATTTTTCGTTCTAACGCACGGAGGAAAAAAATACTGGTGGACAAAATGTGCTTGACGACTAAGAGCGTCTCTTTCACCCACCTCCTCCGTTTCTGTAGCACAGGTAGGGGAACCTCCACACATTGCCGGGTCCAATGATCGCACCCATCACAGTCAATATGAACTCGGCTTTGGTTCCCCAGTGCCCCCTTCCTTCCACCTCTTCAGCCTTCTCTGGGTGACTGTTTGGCACACAAGCTGTGGAGGTGCCATTCTTGCCGTTTGTGGTCCTCTGTTCCCCCATTTAAATGCTTTACTTGGTGCCAGATTTCCTTTGTTTCTGTGTAAAGTTCCCCACGCACTGGACTAAAACTCACACGGGGTTGATCACACGAATATGAAGCTAAAGATGCCACTGGTGTGGCAGCGGCACTGATACGCTGGCCCTGTTACTGTGACTTGTGTTGGCTGAGAGGGGTACTCGCCTACTTAAGCTGCAGAGAAATGTGTGTTTTCTGGGGTGCAGGGGGGAAAGAGTGATGAAAGAAGCTTGTGATGGGGTCTACTGCTCCGCCTTAATTCATCCGACACCGACAGCAAAACAAAGCCTGGGGTACTGAACATTTCAACACATTATTCATCCTCCTGAGAATAAAGGAAAAAA